TGGAATATCAGTTCTTTTCTTTCCTTTTTTTTTAAATACACATTTTTCCTTTATGTTCATTTTCTTTCTCTCCTTTCCATTAGAAAGAAAGGAATATGGAATATCAGTTTTTCCTAATTTTTTTTTTAAAGTTCACACTTTCCTTCTTTTTATTCCATGTTCTGGACTTCTTTCCATTAGAAGAAGAGGAATATGGAATTTCAGTTCTTTTTTTAGTTTTTTTTTTTTTTCTTTCCTTTTTCATTCACATCTGTTCCTAAGCACCTTTCTCTTTTATTTTTCCCAATCATGTTCCCTTCAGTTCTTTTTCTTTCCTTTTTTTTCCTTCATTCCCTTTTTTTTCTTTATGTTTCATGTTTTTCTTTCACCCTTTTCATTCATCTCTGAATTCCTATCAGTTCTTTTCTTTTTTTTTTTTTTTCTTCCATACACATTTTCTTTCCTTTCATTTCCTTTCTTTCCATTGTTCTGGTTTTCCTTTCCATTTTTTTCCCTTTTTTTTGGAATATCAGTTCTTTTTCTTTTTTTTTTCTTTTTTTTTTTTTTGTCATTTTCCTCATGTTCCTGGAGCACTTTTTTTTAGAAAAAGAGGAATATGGAATATCTTTTTCTTTTTCTTTCTTCTTTTTTTTTTACACACATTTTTTCCTTTATGTTCATTTTTTTTTCCCTCTTTTCTTTTTTTTTCAGTTTTTTTCCCTATATGGAATTTCAGTTCTTTTCTTTTTTTTTTTTTTTTAAGTACACACATTTTTCCTTTATGTTCTTTTCTTTCCTCTGAGCACCTTTCCATTTCGTTCCCAATATGGAATATCAGTTCTTTTCTTTCTTTTTTTTTTTCTTACACATTTTTTCATTTATGTCATGTTCCTTCTTTCCTTTTCCATTAGAAAAAAAGAGGAATATTTTTATCAGTTCTTTTTTTTTTTTTTTTTTTTTTCATTTTTTCCTCATTTTTCATTTCTCATGTTCCTGGACAACCTTTTTCCCATTAGATTTCAGGAATATGGAATATCAGTTCTTTTTTTTTTCTTTTTTTTTTAAAGCTTCATTTTTCCTTTTGTTCATGTTCCTATTTCCCTTTCCATTAGAAAAAAGAGGAATATGGAATATTTCAGTTCTTTTCTTTTTTTTTTTTTTTTTTCACACATTTTTCCTTTCCTTTCCATGTTTTTTTCACCTTTTCCATTAGAAAAAAAGAGGAATATGGAATATCAGTTCTTTTCTTTCTTTTTTTTTTTACACACCTTTTTTCCTTTATGTTCATGTTCCTGGAGCACCTTTTCCATCTTTTTTTCAAGAATATGGTTCAGTTCTTTTCTTTCTTTTTTTTTTTTCCCTACACACATTTTTCCTTTATTTTCATGTTCCCCCTTTCCATTTGTTTCCCAGGAATATGGAATATCAGTTCTTTTCTTTTTTTTTTTTTTTTTAAAGTTTTTTTTTCTTTTATGTTCATGTTCCTAATCACCCTTTCTTTTAGAAAAGAAGAGGAATATGGAATATCAGTTCTTTTTTTTTTTTTTTTTTTTTACACACATTTTTCCACTTCATTTTCCTTACAGTTCATTTTTTTCTTTTCCATTAGATTTCCCAATATGAATATCAGTTCTTTTCTTTCTTTTTTTTAAAGTACACATTTTTCTTTATGTTCATGTTTCTGAGCACCCTTTCCATTAGAAAAAGAGGAATATGGAATATCAGTTCTTTTCTTTTTTTTTTTTTTCCTAAGTTCATTTTTCCTTTATTTTCATGTTTCTGGTTTCACCTTTTCCATTAGAAAAAAGAGAATATGGAATATCAGTTCTTTTCTTTCTTTTTTTTTAGTGCTTTACACTTTTTTTTTCCTTTATGTTCATGTTCTGGAGCACCTTTCCATTAGAAAAAAGAGGAATATGGAATATCAGTTCTTTTCTTTCTTTTTTTTTTTAAATTGTTTTTTTCCTTTATGTTCATGTTCCTGGAGCACCCTTTCCATTAGAAAAAGAGGAATATGGAATATCAGTTCTTTTCTTTCTTTTTTTTAAAGTACACATTTTTTCCTTTATGTTCATGTTCCTGGAGCACCTTTCATTAGAAAGAAGAGGAATATGGAATATCAGTTCTTTTCTTTCTTTTTTTTTTACACATTTTTCCTTTATTTCATGTTCCTGGAGCACCTTTTCCATTAGAAAAAGAGGAATATGGAATATCAGTTCTTTTCTTTCTTTTTTTTTTAAAGTACACACATTTTTCCTTTATGTTCATGTTCCTGGAGCTCCTTTCCTTGTTTCCCAATATGGAATATCAGTTCTTTTCTTTCTTTTTTTTTTAAAAGTACACATTTTTTCCTTTATGTTCATGTTCCTGGAGCACCCTTTCCATTAGAAAAAGAGGAATATGGAATATCAGTTCTTTTCTTTTTTTTTTAAAAATTTTCACACACATTTTTTCCTTTATGTTCATGTTCCTCTTTCTTTTTTTTTCCCTTTCCATTAGAAAAAAAGAGGAATATGGAATATCAGTTCTTTTTTTCTTTTTTTTTCATTTTTTTTTTTTTTCATGTTACACTTTCATTTTTCTTTTCTTTTTTTTTTTCATGTTTTTCCTGGAGTTCCTTTCCATTAGAAAAAGAGAATATGGAATATCTTTTCTTTTCTTTTTTTTTTTTTTAAATTACACTCATTTTTCTTTTATGTTCATGTTCCTGGAGCACCCTTTCCATTAGAAAAAAGAGAATATGGAATATCAGTTCTTTTCTTTCTTTTTTTTTTTTTAAAGTACACATTTTTCCTTTTATTCCCTCTGGTCACCCTTTCCATTAGAAAGAATATGGAATATCAGTTCTTTTCTTTCTTTTTTTTAAAAACACATTTTTTTTTTATGTTCATGTTCCTGGAGCACCCTTTCCATTAGAAAGAAGAGGAATATGGAATATCAGTTCTTTTCTTTCTTTTTTTTTAAAGTACACATTTTTCCTTTTTATTTCATGTTCCTGGAGAACCCTTTCCATTAGAAAAAAAAGGAATATGGAATATCAGTTCTTTTTCTACACATTTTTCCTTTTTTTTTTTTAAATTCCTGAAACACATTTGGAATTGTTCTTTTCTTTTTTTTCCTGGAGCACCCTTTCACCCTTTTAGAAAAATTCTTTCACATCATGGAATATCAGTTCTTTTCTTTTTTTTTTTTTAAAGTTTTTTTTTTTTTTTTTTATGTTCATGTTTCCTGGAGCACCTTTCCATTAGAAAAAGAGAATATGGAATATCAGTTCTTTTCTTTCTTTTTTTTTAAAGTACACATTTTTTCCTTTATGTTCATGTTCCTGGAGCACCCTTTCCATTAGAAAAAAAGAGGAGAATGGAATATCAGTTCTTTTCTTTCTTTTTTTTTTTTAAAGTACACACATTTTTCCTTTATTTTTTTGTTTCCTGGAGCACCCTTTCCATTAGAAGGATGAGGAATATGGAATATCAGTTCTTTTCTTTTTCTTTTTTTTAAAGTACACATTTTTCCTTTATGTTCATGTTCCTGGAGCACCTTTCCATTAGAAAAGAAGAGGAATATGGAATATCAGTTCTTTTCTTTTTTTTTTTTTTAAAGTACACACATTTTCCTTTTTGTTCATGTTCCTGGAGCACCCTTTCCATTAGAAAAAGAGGAATATGGAATATCAGTTCTTTTCTTTCTTTTTTTTTAAAAGTACACACATTTTTCCTTTATGTTCATGTTCTGTTTCCCTTTCCATCTCTTTCCAAAAAAGAATATGGAATATGGTTCTTTTCTTTCTCTTTTTTTTTTTTTTTTAAAGTACACATTTTTCCTTTATGTTCATGTTCCTGGAGCACCTTTCCATTAGAAAAAAGATGGAATATGGAATATTTTTTTTCTTTTCTTTCTTTTTTTTAAAAGTACACATTTTTCCTTTATGTTCATGTTCCTGGAGCACCCTTTCCATTAGAAAGAAGAGGAATATGGAATATCAGTTCTTTTCTTTCTTTTTTTTAAAAGTACACATTTTCCTTTATATTTCATGTTCCTGGAGCACCCTTTCCATTAGAAAGAAGAGGAATATGGAATATCAGTTCTTTTCTTTCTTTTTTTTTTAAGTACACACATTTTTCCTTTATATTTCATGTTCCTGGAGCACCTTTCCATTAGAAAAAAAGAGGAATATGGAATATCAGTTCTTTTCTTTTTTTTTTTTAAAGTACACATTTTTCCTTTATGTTCATGTTCCTGGAGCACCTTTTCCATTAGAAAAAGAGAATATGGAATATCAGTTCTTTTCTTTCTTTTTTTTTTTAAAGTACACATTTTTCCTTTATGTTCATGTTCCTGGAGCACCCTTTCCATTAGAAAAAAGAGGAATATGGAATATCAGTTCTTTTTCTTTTTTTTTTTAAAGTACACATTTTTCCTTTATGTTCATGTTCCTGGAGCACCTTTCCATTAGAAAAAAGAGGAATATGGAATATCAGTTCTTTTCTTTTTTTTTTTTTTTTACTTTTTTTTTTTCCTTTATGTTCATGTTCTGGAGCAATTTTTCCATTAGAAAAAAGAGGAATATGGAATATCAGTTCTTTTCTTTCTTTTTTTAAAGAATATGGAATATCAGTTCTTTTTTCCTTTATTTTCATGTTCCTGGAGCACCCTTTCCATTAGAAAAAAGATGAATATGGAATATCAGTTCTTTTCTTTCTTTTTTTTTTTTAACACACATTTTTCCTTTATGTTCATGTTCCTCTCACCTTTCCATTAGAAAAAAGAGGAATATGGAATATCAGTTCTTTTCTTTTTTTTTTTTTTCCATGTTCTGGACACCCTTTCCATTAGAAAAGGAATTTTCAGTTCTTTTCTTTTCACACATTTTCCTTTTTATGTTCCTGGAGCACCTTTCCATTAGAAAGAAGAGGAATATGGAATATCAGTTCTTTTCTTTCTTTTTTTTTTAAAGTACACACATTTTTCCTTTATGTTCATGTTCCTGGAGCACCCTTTCCATTAGAAAGAAGAGGAATATGGAATATCAGTTCTTTTCTTTCTTTTTTTTTAAAGTACACACATTTTTCCTTTATGTTCATGTTCCTGGAGCACCCTTTCCATTAGAAGGAAGAGGAATATGGAATATCAGTTCTTTTCTTTCTTTTTTTTTTAAAGTACACACATTTTTCCTTTATGTTCATGTTATGGAGCACCCTTTCCATTAGAAAGAAGAGGAATATGGAATATCAGTTCTTTTTTTTTTTTTTTTTAAAGTACACACATTTTTTCCTTTATGTTCATGTTCCTGGAGCACCTTTCCATTAGAAAAAAGAGGAATATGGAATATCAGTTCTTTTTCTTTTTTTTTTTTTTTTACACACATTTTCCTTTTGTTCATGTTCCTGGAGCACCTTTCCATTAGAAAAAAGAGGAATATGGAATATCAGTTCTTTTTTTCTTCTTTTTTTAAAAGTACACATTTTTTTCCTTTATGTTTCATGTTCCTGAGCACCACCTTTTCCATTAGAAAAAAGAGGAATATGGAATATCAGTTCTTTTTTCTTTTTTTTTTTAAATTACACATTTTTTCCTTTATGTTTCATGTTCTGGAGAACCCTTTCCATTAGAAAAAAGAGGAATATGGAATATCATTTTTTCTTTTTCTTTTTTTTTTAAAGTACACTCAGTTTTCCTTTATGTGCATGTTTTTTTGGATGCACACCCTTCCATTAGAAAAAGAGGAATATGGAATATCAGTTTTTTTCTTTCTTTTTTTTAAAGTACACACATTTTTCCTTTATGTTCATGTTCCTGGAGCACCCTTTCCATTAGAAAAAAGAGGAATATGGAATATCAGTCTTTTTCTTTTTTTTTTTTTTTAAAGTACACACATTTTTCCTTTATGTTCATGTTCCTGGAGCACCCTTTCCATTAGTTCTTTTTTATGGAATATCAGTTCTTTTCTTTCTTTTTTTTTAAAGTACACACATTTTTCCTTTTTATGTTCATGTTCCTGGAGCACCTTTCCATTAGAAAGGAAGAGGAATATGGAATATCAGTTCTTTTCTTTTTTTTTTTCATTTTCTTTATGTTCATTTTTTTTTTGAAAGAAAAGTACAATATCATTTTTTTCTTTCTTTTGCATGTTCATTTTCCTTCCCTTTTCCATTCCTTTCCATTAGAAAAAGGAAATGGAATATCAGTTCTTTTTTTCTTTTTTTTTCAATTTTTACACATTTTTCCTTTATGTTCATGTTCCTGGAGCTTTTTTCCATTAAAAAAAGAGGAATATGGAATATCAGTTCTTTTCTTTCTTTTTTTTTTTAAAGTACACATTTTTCCTTTATGTGCATGTTCCTGGAGCACCCTTTCCATTAGAAAAAGAGGAATATGGAATATCAGTTCTTTTCTTTTCTTTTTTTTTTAAAAGTACACACACATTTTTCCTTTTTGTTCATTTCCTTTCTTTCTTTCTTTTTCTACACACATTTTTCCTTTATGTCACCCTTTCCATTAGAAAAAGAGGAATATGGAATATCAGTTCTTTTCTTTCTTTTTTTTAAAAGTACACACATTTTTTTTCCTTTATGTTCATGTTCCTGGAGCACCCTTTCCATTAGAAAAAAGAGGAATATGGAATATCAGTTCTTTTTTTTTTTTTTTTTAAAGTACACATTTTTTCCTTTATGTTCATGTTCCTGGAGCACCTTTCCATTAGAAAAAAGAGGAATATGGAATATCAGTTCTTTTCTTTCTTTTTTTTTTAAAGTACACACATTTTTCCTTTATGTTCATGTTCCTGGAGTAACCTTTCCATTAGAAAAAGAGGAATATGGAATATCAGTTCTTTTTTTTTTTTTTTTTAAAGTACACATTTTTCCTTTATGTTGCATGTTCCTGGAGCACCTTTTCCATTAGAAGGAAGAGGAATATGGAATATCAGTACTTTTCTTTCTTTTTTTTTAAAGTACACACATTTTTCCTTTATGTTCATGTTCCTGGAGTACCCTTTCCATTAGAAAAAGAGGAATATGGAATATCAGTTCTTTTCTTTCTTTTTTCTTTAAAGTACACACATTTTTCCTTTATGTTCATGTTCCCTGGAGAACCCTTTCCATTAGAAAAAAGAGGAATATGGAATATCAGTTCTTTTCTTTCTTTTTTTTTTTTACACACATTTTTCCTTTATGTTCATTTCCCTTTCCATTAGAAAAAAGAGGAATATGGAATATCAGTTCTTTTCTTTTTTTTTTTTTTTAAAGTACACATTTTTCCTTTATGTGCATGTTCCTGGAGCACCCTTTCCATTAAAAAAAGAATATGGAATATCAGTTCTTTTCTTTCTTTTTTTTTAAAGTACACATTTTTCCTTTTATTTCATGTTCTGGAGCACCCTTTCCATTAGAAAAAAGAGAATATGGAATATCAGTTCTTTTTTTCTTTTTTTTTTTTTTTTTTACACTTTTTTTTCCATTAGAAAGGAATATTTCAGTTTTATCTTTCTTTTTTTTGTTCCTGGAGCACATTTTCCATTATTCCATTAGAAAGAAGGAATATGGAATATCAGTTCTTTTCTTTCTTTTTTTTTAAAGTACACATTTTTTTTCCTTTATGTTCATGTTCTGGAGCACCCTTTCCATTAGAAAGAAAAAATAGGAATATGGAATATCAGTTCTTTTCTTTTCTTTTTTTTTTTCTTTACACACATTTTTTCCTTTATGTTGCATGTTCCTGGAGCACCTTTCCATTAGAAAAAGAGGAATATGGAATATCAGTTCTTTTCTTTCTTTTTTTTAAAGTACACACATTTTCCTTTATGTTCATGTTCCTGGAGCACCCTTTCCATTAGAAAGAAGAGGAATATGGAATATCAGTTCTTTTCTTTCTTTTTTTTTTTTTACACACATTTTCCTTTTTATTTTCATGTTCCTGGAGCACCCTTTCCATTAGAAAAAAGGAATATGGAATATCAGTTCTTTTCTTTCTTTTTTTTTTTTAAAAGTACACACAGTTTTTTTCCTTTATGTTCATGTTCCTGGAGCACCTTTCCATTAGAAAAAGAGGAATATGGAATATCAGTTCTTTTCTTTCTTTTTTTTTTTTTACACACATTTTTCCTTTATGTTCATGTTCCTGGAGCACCTTTTTCCATTAGAAAAAAGAGGAATATGGAATATCAGTTCTTTTTTTTCTTTCTTTTTTTTTTTTTCACACATTTTTCCTTTATGTTTCATGTTCCTGGGCACCCTTTCCATTAGAAAAAGAGGAATATGGAATATCAGTTCTTTTCTTTCTTTTTTTTTTTAAAGTACACACATTTTTCCTTTATGTGCATGTTCCTGGAGCACCCTTTCCATTAGAAAGAAGAGGAATATGGAATATCAGTTCTTTTCTTTCTTTTTTTTTTAAAGTACACACATTTTTCCTTTATGTTCATGTTCCTGGAGCACCCTTTCCATTAGAAAGAAGAGGAATATGGAATATCAGTTCTTTTCTTTCTTTTTTTTTAAACTTACACACATTTTTCCTTTTATGTTCATGTTCCTGGAGCACCCTTTCCATTTTTCTGGAATATGGAATATCAGTTCTTTTCTTTCTTTTTTTTTTAAAGTACACACATTTTCCTTTTTGTTGTGCATGTTCCTGGAGCACCCTTTCCATTAGAAAAAAGAGGAATATGGAATATCAGTTCTTTTCTTTCTTTTTTTTTAAATCTTTTCATTTTTCTTTCTTTATGTACACACATTTTCTTTATGTATTTCCTGGAGCACCTTTCCATTAGAAAAAAAAGAGGAATATGGAATATCAGTTCTTTTCTTTCTTTTTTTTTTTAAAACACACTTTTTTTCCTTTATGTTCATGTTCCTGGAGCACCTTTCCATTAGAAAAAAGGAATATGGAATATCAGTTCTTTTCTTTTTTTTTTTTTAAAGTACACATTTTTCCTTTATGTTCATGTTCCTGGAGCACCCTTTCCATTAGAAAAAGAGGAATATGGAATATCAGTTCTTTTCTTTTCTTTTTTTTTAAAGTACACACATTTTTTCCTTTTATGTTCATGTTCCTGGAGCACCCTTTCCATTAGAAAAAGAAGGAATATGGAATATCAGTTCTTTTCTTTCTTTTTTTTTTTAAAAGTACACATTTTTCCTTTATGTTCATGTTCCTGGTTCCACCCTTTCCATTAGAAAGAAAGAGGAATATGGAATATCAGTTCTTTTTTTCTTTTTTTTTAAAGTACACATTTTTCCTTTATGTTCATGTTCCTGGAGCACCCTTTCCATTAGAAAAAGAGGAATATGGAATATCAGTTCTTTTCTTTTTTTTTTTTTAAAGTACACATTTTTCTTTTATGTTCATGTTCCTGGAGCACCCTTTCCATTAGAAAAAGAGGAATATGGAATATCAGTTCTTTTCTTTCTTTTTTTTTTTTTAAAGTACACATTTTTCCTTTATGTTCATGTTCTGGAGCACCCTTTCCATTAGAAAAAGAGGAATATGGAATATCAGTTCTTTTTCTTTCTTTTTTTTTTTAAAGTACACATGTTTTTCTTTTTATGTTCATGTTCTGTTCACCTTTCCATTAGAAAAAAGAGAATATGGAATATCAGTTCTTTTCTTTCCTCTCATTTTTTTTTTTTTTAAAGTACACATTTTTCCTTTATGTTCATGTTCTACTTTCCTTTCCATTAGAAAAAGAGGAATATGGAATATCAGTTCTTTTCTTTCTTTTTTTTAAAGTACATCTTTTTTCCTTTATGTGCATGTTCCTGGAGCACCTTTCCATTAGATTCTAAAGGAGGAATATGGAATATCACATTTTCTTTTTCTTTCTTTTTTTTTTTAAAAGTACACATTTTTCCTTTATGTGCATGTTCTGGAGCACCTTTCCATTAGAAAAAGAGGAATATGGAATATCAGTTTTTTTTTCTTCATTTTTTTTTTTTTAAAGTACACACATTTTTCCTTTTTATTCTCATGTTCCTGGAGCACCCTTTCCATTAGAAAAAAGAGGAATATGGAATATCAGTTCTTTTCTTTCTTTTTTTTTTAAAGTACACACATTTTCCTTTATGTTTCATGTTCCTGAGCACCCTTTCCATTAGAAAAAGAGAATATGGAATATCAGTTCTTTTCTTTCTTTTTTTTTTAAAAATTTTTTTTCCTTTATGTGCATGTTCCTGGAGCACCCTTTCCATTAGAAAAAAGAGGAATATGGAATATCAGTTCTTTTCTTTCTTTTTTTTTTAAAGTACACACATTTTTCCTTTATGTTCATGTTCCTGGAGCACCCTTTCCATTAGAAAAAGAGGAATATGGAATATCAGTTCTTTTCTTTCTTTTTTTTTTAAAGTACACACATTTTTCCTTTATGTTCATGTTCCTGGAGAACCCTTTCCATTAGAAAAAAGAGGAATATGGAATATCAGTTCTTTTCTTTCTTTTTTTTTTAAAGTACACACATTTTTCCTTTATGTTCATGTTCCTGGAGCACCCTTTCCATTAGAAAGAAGAGGAATATGGAATATCAGTTCTTTTCTTTCTTTTTTTTTTAAAGTACACACATTTTTCCTTTATGTGCATGTTCCTGGAGCACCTTTCCATTAGAAAAAAGAGGAATATGGAATATCAGTTCTTTTCTTTCTTTTTTTTTTAAAGTACACACATTTTTCCTTTATGTTCATGTTCCTGGAGCACCCTTTCCATTAGAACGAAGAGGAATATGGAATATCAGTTTTTTCTTTTCTTTTTTTAAGTACACACATTTTTCCTTTATGTTCATGTTTTGAGAACCCTTTCCATTAGAAAAAGAGGAATATGGAATATCAGTTCTTTTCTTTCTTTTTTTTTTTTAAAGTATCCACACATTTTTTTCCTTTATATTTGCATGTTCCTGGAGCACCCTTTCCATTAGAAAAAGAGGAATATGGAATATCAGTTCTTTTCTTTCTTTTTTTTTTAAAGTACACACATTTTTCCTTTATGTTCATGTTCCTGGAGCACCTTTCCATTAGAAAAAGAGGAATATGGAATATCAGTTCTTTTCTTTCTTTTTTTTAAAGTACACATTTTTCCTTTATTTCATGTTCCTGGAGCACCCTTTCCATTAGAAAAAAAGAGGAATATGGAATATCAGTTCTTTTCTTTTTTTTTTTTTTAAAGTACACATTTTCCTTTTATGTTCATGTTCCTGGAGCACCCTTTCCATTAGAAAAAAAGGAATATGGAATATCAGTTCTTTTCTTTCATTTTTTTTTTTTAAAGTACTTTTCCTTTTTTTTCTTTCTTTTCTTTTCATGTTCCTGGAGCACCCTTTTCCATTAGAAAAGAGGAATATGGAATATCAGTTCTTTTCTTTCTTTTTTTTTTAAAGTACACACATTTTTCCTTTATGTGCATGTTCCTGGAGCACCCTTTCCATTAGAAAAAGAGGAATATGGAATATCAGTTCTTTTCTTTCTTTTTTTTTTAAAGTACACACATTTTTCCTTTATGTGCATGTTCCTGGAGCAACCTTTCCATTAGAAAAAGAGGAATATGGAATATCAGTTCTTTTTTTTTTTTCTTTTTTTTTAAAAGTACACACTTTCCATTTTCCTTTATGTTCATGTTCCTAAACACACATTTTTTTTCCATTAGAAAAAGAAAGAAGAGGAATATGGAATATCAGTTCTTTTCTTTCTTTTTTTCCCTCTTACACACATTTTTCCTTTATGTTCATGTTCCTGGAGAACACCTTTCCATTAGAAAAAGAGGAATATGGAATATCAGTTCTTTTCTTTTTTTTTTTAAAGTACACATTTTTCCTTTATGTTCATGTTCCTGGAGCACCCTTTCCATTAGAAAAAGAGGAATATGGAATATCAGTTCTTTTCTTTCTTTTTTTTTTTTAATACACACATTTTTCCTTTATGTGCATGTTCCTGGAGCACCCTTTCCATTAGAAAAAAGAGGAATATGGAATATCAGTTCTTTTCTTTCTTTTTTTTTTTAAAGTACACACATTTTTCCTTTATGTGCATGTTCCTGGAGCACCCTTTCCATTAGAAAAAGAGGAATATGGAATATCAGTTTTTTTTTTTTTCTTTTTTTTTTTAAAGTACATTTTTTTTTCCTTTATGTTCATGTTCCTGGAGCACCCTTTCCATTAGAAAAAAGAGGAATATGGAATATCAGTTCTTTTCTTTTTTTTTTTTTTTAAAACACATTTTTTCCTTTATGTGCATGTTCCTGGGCACCCTTTCCATTAGAAAAAGAGGAATATGGAATATCAGTTCTTTTCTTTTCTTTTTTTTTTTAAAGTACACATTTTTTTCCTTTATGTTCATGTTCCTGGAGCACCCTTTCCATTAGAAAGAAAGAGAATATGGAATATCAGTTCTTTTTTCTTTCTTTTTTTTTAAATTTTTTTTTCCTTTATGTTCATGTTCTGGAGCACCTTTTCCATTAGAAAAAAGGAATAATATGGAATATCAGTTCTTTTCTTTCTTTTTTTTTTTTTAAAGTACACACATTTTTCCTTTATGTTCATGTTCCTGGACACCTTTCCATTAGAAAGAAGAGAATATGGAATATCAGTTCTTTTCTTTCTTTTTTTTTAAAAGTACACACATTTTTCCTTTATATTTCATGTTCCTGGAGCACCCTTTCCATTAGAAAGAAGAATATGAATATGGAATATCTTTTTTCTTTTCTTTCTTTTTTTTGTAAAAGTACACATTTTTTCCTTTTTTTCATGTTCTGGAGCACCATTTTTCCTTTATGTAAAAAGTCTCACCCTTTATGGAATATCAGAATTCTTTTCTTTTCTTTTTTTTTTTTTAAAGTACACATTTTTTCCTTTATGTTCATGTTCCTGGAGCACCCTTTTCCATTAGAAAAAAGAGGAATATGGAATATCAGTTCTTTTTCTTTCTTTTTTTTTTTAAATTTTACACATTTTTCCTTTATGTTCATGTTCCAATTTTTTCTTTCCATTAGAAAAAAGAGGAATATGGAATATCAGTTCTTTTCTTTCTTTTTTTTTAAAAAGTACACACATTTTCCTTTATGTTCATTTTCCTGGAGAACCTTTCCATTAGAAAAGAGGAATATGGAATATCAGTTCTTTTCTTTCTTTTTTTTTTAAAGTACACATTTTTTCTTTATGTTCATGTTCCTGGACCACCTTTTTCCATTAGAAAAAGAGGAATATGGAATATCTTTTCTTTTCTCATTTTCTTTTTTTTTAAAAGTACACACATTTTTCCTTTATGTGCATGTTCTGGAGCACCCTTTCCATTAGAAGGAAGAGGAATATGGAATATCAGTTCTTTCTTTTTTTTTTTTTTTTTTTAAAGTACACACATTTTTCCTTTATGTGCATGTTCCTGGAGCACCCTTTCCATTAGAAGGAAGAGGAATATGGAATATCAGTTCTTTTCTTTCTTTTTTTTTTTAAAGTACACACTTTTTTCCTTTATGTTCATGTTCCTGGAGCACCCTTTTCCATTAGAAAAAAGAGGAATATGGAATATCAGTTCTTTTCTTTCTTTTTTTTAATTTTACACACATTTTTCCTTTATGTTCATGTTCCTGGAGAACCTTTCCATTAGAAAAAAAGGAATATGGAATATCAGTTCTTTTCTTTTTTTTTTTTTTTTCCACATTTTTTCTTTTATTTCATGTTCTGGTTTTTTCCATTAGAAGAGAATATGGAATATCAGTTCTTTTTCTTTCTTTTTTTTTAAAGTACACATTTTTCCTTTTTTCCATGTTCCTGACCACTTTCTTTCCATTAGAAAAAAGAGGAATATGGAATATCAGTTCTTTTCTTTTTTTTTTTTAAAGTACACACATTTTTTTCCTTTATTTTTCATGTTCCATCCCTTTCCATTAGAAAGAAGAGGAATATGGAATATCAGTTCTTTTTTTTTCTTTTTTTTTTTTAAAGTACACTTTTTTCCTTTTGAATTTGGAATATGTTCTCTTTTGGAGACCCTTTCCATTAGAAAAAGAGAGGAATATGGAATATCAGTTCTTTTTTTTCTTTTTTTTTAAATTACACACATTTTTCCTTTTTGTTTCATGTTCCTGGAGCAGTTCCCTTTCCATTAGAAAAAAGAGGAATATGGAATATCAGTTCTTTTCTTTCTTTTTTTTCATTCCTCTTTTCACATTTTTCCTTTATGTTCATATTTCATGGAGCACCCTTTCCATTAGAAAAGAAGAGGAATATGGAATATCAGTTCTTTTCTTTCTTTTTTTTTAAAGTTTTTTTTTCCTTTATTTCATGTTCCTGTTCCACCTTTCTTTTAGAAAAAGAGGAATATGGAATATCAGTTCTTTTCTTTTCTTTTTTTTTTTCCCTTTTTTCATTTTTCAGTTTTCTTTTTCTTTCCATCAGTTCTTTTCTTTTTCTTTTTTTTTAAAGTACCTCCAGTTTTTTCCTTTATGTTCATGTTCCTCCTTTTTAGAAAGAAGAGGAATATGGAATATCATTTTTCTTTTTTTTTTTTTTTTTTTTTTTTTCCTCTTTTCTTTTCTTTCTTTTTTTTTTTTACACAGTTTTTTTCTTTATATTTTTCTGAGCACCCTTTCCATTAGAAAGAAGAATATGGAATATCAGTTCTTTTCTTTTTTTTTTTTTTTAAAGTACACACATTTTTCCTTTTATGTTCATTTTCTTTCCTCTCATTTCCATTAGAAAAAAGAGGAATATGGAATATTTTTCTTTTCTTTCTTTTTTTTTTTTTTTTTTCATTTTTTTTCCTTTATGTTCATGTTCTGGACTTTCCTTCTCTTTCCATTAGAAAAAAGAGGAATATGGAATATCAGTTCTTTTCTTTTCTTTTTTTTTCTTTTTTTTTTCATTCATTTTTTTCCTTTATGTTCATGTTCCTGGAGAACCCTTTCCATTAGAAAAAAGGAATATGGAATATCAGTTCTTTTCTTTTCTTTTTTTTAAAGTACAGTCATTTTTCCTTTATTCATGTTCCTGGATTCACCCTTTCCATTAGAAAGAAGAGAATATGGAATATCAGTTCCTTTTTCCTTTTTTTTTTCCACTCAGTTTTTTTCCTTTATTTCATGTTCCTGGAGCACCCTTTCCATTAGAAAGAAGAGGAATCTCGAATATCAGTTCTTTTCTTTCTTTTTTTTTTTAAAGTTCCCTCTTTCCTTTCCTTATTTTTCATGTTCCTGGAGCACCCTTTCCATTAGAAAAAAGAAATATGGAATATCAGTTCTTTTTTTTTTTTTTTTTTAAAGTACACAATTTTTCCTTTATGTGCATGTTCCTTTCCCACCTTTCCATTAGAAAAAAAGGAATATGGAATATCAGTTCTTTTCTTTTTTTTTTAAAGTACACATTTTTTTCCAGTTTTTATGTTCATGTTCCTGGAGCACCCTTTCCATTAGAAGGAAGAGGAATATGGAATATCAGTTCTTTTTCTTTCTTTTTTTTAAATTACACATTTTTCCTTGATATTTCATGGGACACCCTTTCCATTAGAAAAAAGGAATATGGAATATCAGTTCTTTTCTTTCTTTTTTTTTTTTTTACCATTTTTCCTTTATATTCATGTTTTTCTTTCCATTAGAAAGAAGAGGAATATGGAATATCAGTTCTTTTTCTTTTATTTTTTTTTTTAAAGTACACACATTTTTTCCTTTTTTCATTTCTGGAGCACCTTTTCCATTAAAAAAAAGAGGAATATGGAATTTCATTTCTTTTCTTTTCTTTTTTTTTTTTAAATTCATCTTTTCCTACTTTCCTTCACCCTTTTTGAAAAAGAGCAATCTGGAATTCAGTTCTTTTCTTTCCTCTTTTTTCCTTCATTTCCATTTTTTTTTTTCTGTGCATTTTCTTTCTTTTTCTTTCCATTAGAAGGAAGAGAATATGGAATATCAGTTCTTTCTTTCTTCTTTTATTCAACCCAATCTCGACTTTTTTTCTTTTTTTCCTCTCACCCTTTCCTTATTCCCTCTTTTCATTTCCTTTTTTCTTTTTTTCACATCTTTATTTTTCCATTTTTCTCTTTTATTCAACCCAATATCTTCAGTTCTTTTTTCCTCATTTCCTTCATTCCTCTTTTTCATTCCTTTAGTTTTTCTTTTCCTATTTTTCACATCTGTTCCTAATTCTCTTAATCTGGAATTCAGTTCTTTTCTTTCTTTTTTTTCCTTCATTTCCTTTTTTCATGTTCCTCTCAATTTTTCCTTTCCTATTTCATTCATCAGTTCTTTTCCTTTCTTTTTTTTTTTACAAGTCTCTTTTTTTTCTCTTTTCATTTCATTTCCACAGAACCATTTCCTTCATAGAAAAGAGGAATTCCTCTCAGTTCTTTTTTTCTTTTCCTTTTTCATTCACAGTTTTTCTTTCCTACTTTCCTTCTATTTTTATTCAGCAATCTCGACTTCAGTTCTTTTCTTTCTTTTTTTTTTCCTTCATTCCCTTTTTTCATTCATGTTTCTCAGCACCCTTTTCTTTTTCCTTTTTCATTGGAATATCCAGTTTTCTTTTCTTTTTTTTTTCAACCCAACATTTCCTTTCAGTTCTTTTCTTTCCTCTCATTTCCTTCATTCCTCTTTTCATTCCTCTCAGTTTTTTTCTTTCTTTTTTTTTTTTTTTACATCATTTTCCTTTTTCCTTCTCTTTTATTCAACCTTCTCGACTTCTCTCATTTCTTTTTTTCTTTTTTTCCTCTCATTTCCTTCTTTTCTTTTTTTTTTTCTTAAATCTCATTTTTTTCTTTTTTTTTTTCATCATTCATTTGTTCCTATTTTCCTTTCTTGATTAAAAAAAGAGAATCTGGAATTCAGTTCTTTTCTTTTTCATTTCCTTCATTCCCTCTTTTCATTCCTCTCAGTTTTTTTCCTTCATGTTCATGTTCTACTTTCCTTCTTTTTATTCAACCCAATCTCGAATATCAGTTCTTTTCTTTCCTTCATTTCCTTTTTTTATTCCACTCATTTTTTCTTTCTCTGTTCATGTTCATCTTTTCACCTTTCCATCTATTTTATTCAAACAATCTGGAATTCAGTTCTTTTTTCTTTCTTTTTTTTCATTCCCTTTTTCCTCTCAGTTTTTTTCCTATTTCATTTCATCAGTTCTTTTCCTTCTCTTTTATTCAACCCAATCTCGACTTCATTCTTTTTCTTTTCCTCTCATTTCCTTCATTCCTTTTTTTTCATTCCTCTCAATTTTCCTTTTTATTTCATTCATCAGTTCCTTTTCCATTAGAAAAAGAGAATCTCGAATTCAGTTCTTTTTTCTTTTTTTCTTCTCATTTTTTTCATTCCTCATTTTCATTTCCTCTCGTTTTTTTCTTTCATTCATCAGTTCCTGGAGCACCTTCTAGAAATTCAGGAATATGGAATTCAGTTCTTTCCTTCTCTTTTTTTTCCCCTTTTTCATTTCTCAGTTTTTTCTTGTTTTTCTTTTTGTTCCTTTTTCCATCTCTTTTTATTCAAACAATCTCTGATTCAGTTCTTTTCTTTCCTTTCTTTTTTTTTCTTTTTTTTCCTTCATTTTTTTTTTATTTCATGTTCATTTTCTACTTTTCTTTCTTTTTAAGAAAGCAATATGGAATTCAGTTCTTTTCTTTTCTCTTTTTCCTTCATTTCCCTCTTTTCATTCCTTTTCAATTTTTCTTTCCTATTTCATTCCATATGGAATATAGTTCTTTTCTTTCTTTTTTAAAACCCTCATTTTCCTTTCTTTTCTTTCCTTTCCACCTTTCCTTGAAAAATTCCCTATGGAATATCAGTTCTTTTTTTTTTTTTCTTTCACATTTTTTCTTTTCATTTTCATTTCCCATCTGTTCCTTTCTTTCCTTCTTTTTTACTTTCCAGGCATTTTTTCCAATCTCGACTTCAATTCTCTTTTCTTTCCTCTAAAAATTTCCTTCATTTTTCCTTTTTTCATTGTTCTCAGTTTTTTCTTTCCTATTTCATTTCACATGGAATTCAGTTCTTTTCTTTTTTTTTTTATTCAACCCAATCTCCCTTCATGTTCTTTTCTTTCCTCTCATTTCCTTCATTTCCCTCTTTTCTTTTATCTCATTTTTTCTTTCTTTTTTTTTCATTCATCTTTTCCTACTTTCCTTCTCTTTTATTAGAAGGAAACCAATCTCGACTTCATTCTTTTCTTTCCTCTCTTTTCCTTCATTCCCTCTTTTCATTCCTCTCAGTCAGTTTTTCTTTTTCTTTCACATCATGTTCCTACTTTCCTTCTCTTAGAAACCCAATCTCGACTTCAGTTCTTTTTCTTTCCTCTTTTCCTTCATTCCCTTTTCATTTCTCAGTTTTTTTTTCTTGTTTCATTCATCTTTTCCTACTTTCCTTCTCTTTTAGAAAACAATCTGGACTTCAGTTCTTTTCTTTCTCTCATTTTTCATTTTTTCATTTCCTCTCAGTTTTTCTTTCATTTTCTATCAGTTCCCTTTTCTTCTTTTTATTTCTTTACTGGAATTCTTTTTCTTTCCTTTCCTTCATTTTTTTCATTCCTCTCAATTTTTTTTCCTATTTCCTTCTCAGTTCACCCTTTCCTTCTCTTTTATTCAACCCAATCTGGAATTCAGTTCTTTTCTTTTTTTCCTTTTCCTCTTTTTTCCTTCTGTTTTTTCCTTCTTTTCATTCCCTCTCAGTTTTTTTCTTTCCTCTCATTTCCTTCATTCCTCTTTTTCATTCCTCTCAGTTTTTCCTTCATTTTTCTTTTCTCTTTTATTCAAAATCTCCAATCTTTCCTTCAGTTCTTTTTTCTTTCCTCTCATTTCCTTCATTCCCTCTTTTCATTCCTCTCAGTTTTTTCTTTCCTATTTCATTCACATCAGTTCACACTTTTCCTTCTCTTTTATTCACCAATCTCGACTTCAGTTCTTTTTCTTTCCTCTCATTTCCTTCATTCCCTCTTTTCATTCCTCTCAGTTTTTTTTTTTATTTCATTCATCGGATGTTCCTACTTTCCTTCTCTTTTATTCAACCCAATCTCGACTTCAGTTCTTTTCTTTCCTCTCATTTTTTCATTCCTTTTTTTTTCCTCTCAGTTTTTTTTTCCTATTTCATTTTCTTTCAGTTCCTACTTTTTCCTTCTCTTTTATTCAACCCAATCTCGACTTCAGTTCTTTTTCTTTCCTCTCATTTCCTTCATTCCCTCTTTTCATTCCTCTCAGTTTTTTCTTTCCTATTTCATTCACATCAGTTCCTACTTTCCTTCTCTTTTATTCAACCCAATCTCGACTTCAGTTCTTTTTCTTTCCTCTCATTTCCTTCATTCCCTCTTTTTCATTGCTCTCAGTTTTTTCTTTCCTATTTCATTCACATCAGTTCCTACTTTCCTTCTCTTTTATTCAACCCAATCTCGACTTCAGTTCTTTTTCTTTCCTCTCATTTCCTTCATTCCCTCTTTTTCATTCCTCTCTGTTTTTTTTCTTTCCTATTTCATTCACATCAGTTCCTACTTTCCTTCTCTTTTATTCAACTTAATCTCAGCTTCAGTTCTTTTTCTTTCCTCTCATTTCCTTCATTCCTCTTTTCATTCCTCTCAGTTTTTTTTCCTTTTTTCATTTCATCAGTTCCTACTTTCCTTCTTTTTTATTCAACAATCTCGACTTCAGTTCTTTTCTTTCCTCTTTTCCTTCATTCCCTCTTTTCATTCCTCTCAGCTTTTTTTCTTTTTTATTTCTTTCATCTGTTCCTACTTTTCCTTCTCTTTTATTCATTCCCTCCCAATCTCGACTTCATTTTCTTTTCTTTCCTCTCTTTTCCTTATTTCTTTTTTCATTCCTCTCTTTTTTTCTCTTCCTATTTCATTCATCTGTTCCTACTTTCCTTCTCTTTTATTCCCAATCTCGACTTCAGTTCTTTTTTTCTTTCCTCTCATTTCCTTCATTCCTCTTTTCATTCCCCTCAATTTTTTCTTTCCCTATTTCTTCACATCTTTTTCCTACTTTTCATTCTCTTTTATTCCTCTCAATCTCGACTTCAGTTCTTTTTTTTTTCCTCTCATTTCCTTCATTCCCTCTTTTCATTCTTCTCAGTTTTTTTCTTTCCTATTTCATTCATCTGTTCCTACTTTTCCTTCTCTTTTTATTCAACCCAATCTCGACTTCAATTCTTTTCTTTCCTCTCTTCAGTTCTTTTTCTTTCCTTTCATTTCCTTCATTCCCTCTTTTCATTCCTCTCAGTTTTTTTTCTCTCTTTTCATTCATCAGTTCCTTCTTTCCTTCTATTTTATTCAACCCAATCTCGTCTTCAGTTCTTTTTCTTTCCTCTCATTTCCTTCATTCCCTCTTTTTCATTCCCCTCAGTTTTTTCTCTCCTATTTCATTCACATCAGTTCCTACTTTCCTTCTCTTTTATTCAACCCAATCTCGACTTCAGTTCTTTTTTCTTTCCTGCCAGTTTCTTCTTTCCCTCTTTTATATTCCTCTCAATTTTGCTCTTATTTTGAAATTCATCTCATCATATATTTTTGAAACATTCACGTATGGAATGGAATATACGTATGTCTGTCCGTTATGTGCCATGCGTGATACACGCTTAGGCGATACATGACTGACGAGGCAGATTTTTTCCGCAGGAGGCAGCCATTTCTTTCTGCGGTAGACCAATCGCCATTCAATGCTATATAAACCGGGTTTCCTGCTGTTTACGCATAGTTGTCAGAGAAGAGGATTCATACCTTTCCCAAGGGTATTAGCACGTACGTGAATGTAATGGATTCGACTGGAATTCGAACTCGGCTCTCCGATCCCTCAATCCGAAAAGTGTTTTGCTGGTAATATTTTTTTTCAAAAATGTATTGCTGATATTTTTTTTCAAAAAAAGTATTGCTGGTATTACAACCTATTTTGATACATTCATAGCCGTGTGACCGCAGTCTGGGGGTTAAATATTTGCCCATAGCTGGGACCCTATCAGGTGCTACAACCCCGAGTCAGGGTGGACCTGGGAACACCAGAAGTTAAGATGTGATTCCCCGCTCCTCAAAACCTCCTGATCAGAGTCCTTGCTGTCGGATATAGTTTATCGTCTTACCCAGGACGCTAAATTTTATTTTCTTTGTGGGATAATAACGGTTGTGTGATACTAGTCTTGATAATTAACTTATATCTGGTGGAAGAGACGGATTCATACCTTTTTTCCAAGGGTATTGCCTTGTAAGTAATTATAACGAACTTGACGGGAATTGGAACTCTCCAATTAACATTTCCGAGTCATTATCCATTACACAACCCACATAGCAATGCTTACAGCACCTGATATTCCCAAGCAGTCACTCATTAACGTATTGACCAAGTTCGACGTTGCTTAACTTCGCTGATCGTACGTGAACCGATGTTTCAACGTTCTATGTCCATAATCTTTCATAAGTTGTGCATTACTTACGTTTACATACTGAAATGCTATATACCTGGTGTAACAGCAAAATTGTCAAAATCGTGTAACAGCATGGGATAATTGTCCATCCCACAAAATGTTTAATATCTAAAAACCACTAGACAATTTGAGTTTCTTTTTACCAGTTTTTCAGATAAGACGTTTAGCCATCTTGACACCATCTGTTGTAAGAACCCTTGGAAAACCCTTTGAGTTATTCAGCTAGAAAGAGAAAGGGTTAAAATCATTTTGTGTTAGCCCACTGTTTCTAAACTGAGCAATGGTGATAGGAAAAAGATCATTAAGACCTTCAGTAATGGTGCCAACATTCATACTCTGGCTTCCATTTTCATAGTCCGTTCAAGAGAACAATGAATAAATTTTAAAAAAAGAGAGAACAGTAGAGAAGAAAACTGGGTCAGGAGGTCACAACAGCAAGAAGGATCATCATTTCAGCTCAGTGTTAAATACATTCTTATTGTTCAAAGTAGATTCCAACAGTGTTATAAAAACCTCGAAGAATTCCAGTAAGATATCTTTAATCATTTCTAAGATACAGCGGTTATAGTTTAATCTAACAATTGGACAATTTTGTTGTTACACGATTTTGACAATTTTGCTGGTACACCCTGAAAGTAAATTTTTATTGATTTTTCGTTTTCTTTATTTTTAAGGAAGAGAAAACACTCACAAAGTTTTCATACAATGAACAAGACTATTTTTTTTTTAAATTTTATTTTATGACGTTTCTTAGCTGGTTGTGAATTAAAATATTTAACCAAGTGAATCGTTAACAAAAGAGTGGTTGTAATAAAAAACGTTTATCCACTCATGCTGTGCGCCTTGAAAGTGATTAATCATTCAGTGTGAATTTGATATGCACAATGTTTACGTGGTTGAACTATTCCTTTTAATTTGTATCTATAAGTTTTTTTTTTTTTTCTGATCCTAGCATACTGAAGTAGGTCTGTGCAAATATTTGTTGCCGCGCAAATATTTATCTGACGGTTGCATGTAATTGTTTAAAACTATTAATATCACTTGAATTAGTTGTCTCTATCAGGGGTTCTGACCAATTGTGACCAGGCATTTAGGATGTATAAAACGTTAGTTCTGGGTGGAGGCATACTGCACTCGAAGTCAATCCTTGATGTATGAAGCACACTCTAAGGG